TGCTTCTCTGAAGAATTCGTAAGTTACTTCTTCTGCTGACTCTTCTTCCATTGGTTCTGGTGTGTTAGGAGCATATTGATTGGGGAGAGGGGGACCGCCCCAGCTGGTGCTGCGTGTTGCCCAATATGGGTCGATGGCGGCGACTTCCGCAGGAGGTAGCCCAGCTGCTTCGTCATGGACTCGTTCCGCTTCAGCTGAGGTTTCCCATCTGGTTGTGCCGACTTCTCCTGTTGAGACAGCGTCCCATCCACTTGCGGCTGCTTCTTCTGGAGTTAGGATTTCTCCCCAAGGCCCGAGCGTGGGCTCGGGAGTGCTCGTCCAGCCTGTTTCGGCTGTCTTGTTTTCCTCGGTGGTTTGTGCTACAGGTTTTGACGTGCCGCTGTCTTCTTCCATTGTGGTAGGTCCGGTCTCTGCAGGATTGAAAGTCGAGGCGGTCAGAACGGTGTCCAGACGCAGAAGGCCATCTGAGGCAGGCCGCTCGAGATCCATCTCGTCGGGATGCGACCATGTTGGTGGCTTCGTGGGAGTTGTCTTCAGCAGTAGTGTGCGGTCGGAATCGCCGGTAGTGCCTTGGGTCGAGAATTGCAGCACGAAAACTCCATCGTCATCGATTGCCTTCCCGATGTAAGTTTCGTTGTAGAATAGCTCGAAGGTTTTATCCTTACGATTGCTGTGAATGTCGACTCCGCACCGCATGAGCTGAGCTGAGGAGAGTAGATTGTATTGCAGTTCAGGTGCGACGATGACGTCTCCGATGTGAATAGTGAACTTCGTATCATTGGCTTCGAGGTATATTTCGCTAATGGCATATGCCTTCATCTTCCCATTGTTGGCGACGGTGATTTCACAGGGTCGTCGCATGCGTTTTGAGTTGCTAATGAACGTCGGCGATCCCACCATGTGCTGCCCGCAGCAACTGTCGAAGTACCAGGTGTTGAAATCCTCGTGACGTTGGCGTGCGATGTTGGCGATTTTGGGCGTGACGATGCGATCAAAGTCGCCAGTGTACGGTGAGAGAGCGAAGTATCTGTTTGCGGAGTTGCTCGGCGGCGATTCCGGAGTAGGCGGAGGGAGCTCGAAGTCGGGTGGAATGTCTTAGGGACGATCGATCCGGGTATAGACTGTTGGGTCATTGTCTGGGTTGGGCGCAACATGGTTGATGGGATCGTTAAGTGCGAATGTTACTCGATCGTAGTATCGGAACCCTCTGATGCGGCGAGCCATGCAGCTCATGATTGTCCCTTTCCCTTCATCCTTCGCCGTGATGAGTGCAGGAGATTGAGAAGTGCTGGCAACGGAGGGAGGTGACACAGTGGAGGTTGCGGTAGAAGGTTTTGTTTGTGCCGAGGGTTGCTGACTGAGGGCGCTGCGCCGTTCATCAGCAGCCTGACGCTTGTAGCACCGGTCGATAGTGTGGCCAGACTTCTTGCAGTATTTGCAGAAAGCTCCTTTCTTTCCGCGCTGCTCCCCTTGTGACGCTCCTGTGTAGAAGGCTAATTTCTCCCGTTTGACATTCTTCTCATTGTACAGGTCAATCTCCTTTTGTTCAGAAAGGAGCGTGGCGCATAGAGCCGACTCCAATATTGTTGCTCGGGCGCAAAGGAGTGACTGACATTGTCGCCAGTCAGGGCCAAGGCCAAATATGACCATCGAAATGAACATGTCGTCGGGATCGGTCCCACCGCACTTTTTGACTTGATCGCGCAGATTGCGGCACCGGTTAACATACGGTCCCGCCTTCTCCTCTTGCTTCATTTTAACCGAAGTCAACTGGCTGAGCAGACGACTCATAGTGACTGGATCTGTTGCCATGTATGAGTTGCGCAGGTGTTCCCAGGACGTGTGCGCGGGAGCCTATTCCGTTTTGTAGGGACGGATGCAAAGCTGCTCTTCACGTGAGAGATTTCGAAGGAGAGCGGTATACGGGAGGAGGGATTCGTGGTAGTCTTGATGCTTCTCTTGGATGGTGCCTTCCGTAGGAAAAGGTAGGCTCCCGTCGTAATACATCCAGATCTGAGCGGTTGTCGCGAGAAGCTCAAATTCGAAGCTCCACGTGTAGAAATCATTGCCGTTAAAAGGAATTGAGGTCTTTAGTTTTGAAGTCAATACAAACTTGGTTTGCATAGAGACGATTTCTGATTGTGCTCGTTGTGGGTTGTCTTGTGCAGGAGCTGAGCCTTGACGATTGTCAATGGTGAAAGACCTCTCGGAGTTGACGCGGCGGTCTTCCCTAGGGAGAGGGAGTCCAGCAACTCCTCTGGCGTAGCTGGAGCCGTCAACGCTCATTGCTTGATGGCTCTCAAGAGCGTTGATGCGTGCGACTAGCTGCTCAACGACAGCGGCGCTGACGGAGGTCACCGCTGATGGCGCATTAGTCGTTGCTGGTGGTGGGCCCGGTGAGTCTGCAGTAGCTTTCCCTTCAGGGGCCATGATTTTGCAGACTTAGAAATGTATTGAGTAAGTTTATAACGAGATTGTTCTAGGAAGAACGAGGACTTGGCAGATCTTATAATCCACTCTTGCTCTCATACCATGTTGATATAACCAAAGGATCAAGTAGATAGGATAAAATCTGTTACATACCGTATTCTCCCGGACATAACACCCTAGCCTGGCCGCCACACCCTTCTGCTCTTTGCCGCTGGGCCGTGCGTCCTGCTGTGGGGGGGAGGGTGAAGGCGTGGCGGGAGGGACTCTGCAGCGCTAGCCGCTGCCCACCTCCTCTGCTCTCTCCCTGCAGCGCCAGTCGCTGTGGGGGGGGAGGGTGAGGGGGTGGTGGGAGCGTGGCTTCAGCACCAGCCGCAGCCGCCTCCTCATTCCTCCTCTCTCCCTTCTGTTCTCTGTTTTCTGCGTTCTCTCGGCTCCTCCTCCTGCAGCCAGGCATCTGCTGCTGTCGCCCGCTGCTACTATGGCACCTCCAGCTGTCGCCCCTGTCGCCACCTGCCCTGTTTTTTGTTTTCTGCTGCTGGGGCCTGCAGGTGCTGCCGTCGAGCCGCTGCTGTCTTGCTGCACATTGCAGCCACAGAGCCTGCTCCTCAGGCGACCTGCCGCCCCTACACTTGCTACTTTTTCTGCTTTGTGTTTCTGCTTTGGCTCAGGGTTGCTACAGCTGAATCTGCTACCACTGCACTGGTTGTCACTGCTCATGCCTACTGCTGCTACTTCCGCTGCACTCTGTATGGTGTACCCTCTTTAGGGGGCGTTACTACACTCACACCTGCAAACAATTATGGGGGTGTGTCGAAATATGTTATTCATATTTATATAATTGTTTGTAGTGTTAGTGTAGTTATGTTTCCCGTTTGGTGGTGCACCTCATTACCCTAGTTCTTGCCTATATCTTTGTACCTTTGCCCTTTATTGAACCTTCTTCCCTCTCGTTACTCTCGACACCCTCACCTAGTTTCCTAGGTTCTAAGCTAAGTTTGACACCTAGGGTATAGCTAAAAATACAGGGAAAAAATGGGGGGGGTCTCCTCATAGGAAAAAATGCATAATACCCGGGTCTTTACATATGGCATATTTTAGTGTTAGTGTTTTTTTTATTAGTCAATGTGGGTGTTTTGCTGGTCCTTTTAGCATCACTGCCTGAGGCGCGAATGTGAGTTTCGGCCTCGAACTTCATCGCCCTCACGAAAATGCCATGTGGCACCTCTCTTGCCACTTGCAACGGAAGATTCACCTGCACGTGGCAACAGAGAAATAGTGGGAGGGGGCAAATCTCGGCAGATTGCCTTTGGATGTACCGCGAAATTTCCTTGAGGGAGAAATTCACACGATATTCTTCCGTATTGCAGCTACTCGTTAACGACTATAATAATGAATATGTAAGAAAAGGGGGGTGTTATAGAAAATCAGCCAAAAAGGGGGGTATAGTAGAAACGAGGTCTATCATAACACCCACCCCGCACAAGCTACCCGGGGGTGTACAATTATGGGGGGGTGTTTTGTCCGGGAGTATACGGTAGCTACAGTAACCACGACTATTGCCATGCTCGACATTTACCATGTTGCAGTGAGCAACAGGCCTCTTGATATAAGGGTGAATCACCCTTATGACCCTTACTATAAGGGTGTGTTCTGATTCGGACCCTTACTTTACAAAGTGGATTTTTTTCTGACACTTACAGGAAAAAGTGAATATGTTTAGGACCCTGATATTTCAGAGTGAAGTGGTGCAGTCGCACTGATCGGGAACATACATCCTCCTCAAAAAGTAAAGTAGCTCGAAGAAACCGAGTCATATGGACAACTTTGCCCACCAAATGCCTCCCACAAGTATCGATATCGCATCCCATTCACTAAAAGACCCATTGTGCTAAGTCGTCACGCCTAAAATCTACTAGTTATTTTACATGAAAAGTTATAGTTTGGTTTAAACCCTTACAAGAAAGAGTGGTGCTTGCCTGGTACCCTTACAGAAAGAGTGAAAGCAGCTGGTTACCCTTATGAGAAAGACTGGTTCAAATCCTATCCAGAGGCCTGGTGAGCAACTGTCGTGCCGTTACTGGATGGTCAAGGGTCACGACCGTTGACTTCCTTCGACGGTTGACCTTAGGATGACCCTCGACCTTCCGCATGCTCTATATGAGCTATTGCGTTACTTGGCACAGTGGAATACCTTTGGGAATGTTTATAACCTTCCGGTTATTCCAACAACACCACCCAATGAAAAATACCTTTTGCTACAAAGAAGAGCGGTCCAGAATTCGGACACCTGGCAGCATATGCTGTAAGTACGCGTCACAACACAATCGATTCAGACACTTCCTTTGAGAAAGTGTCCACAGCGGAATGTACCTTGAGTAATGTGAAGTCCTGTTTATGTGAAAGCATAGTATACATATCCATGGGTCATTCAAGAGCGATTTATAACACATGAAATCAACCCTCCACGTTCCTCACTCCCCACTTCCCCACACCTTCTCTCCCTTTCCCCTTTGTCCCACACAACTCCTGCGTCTTCTTTACTTTCTCAACCTCTTGCCAACCTAGGTAGCTTACTCATCCTCCTGAACAACACTAACCCTTCCATCCCTCTCCCCGCCAAACTCGTCTTCACCACCACCGCCAGTACCACCACCAATGCCAACACCCACACCTGCAGCTGCAGCAGCAGCACTGCTGCTCAAGTTCCCTGCAGCCGATGCTGCCACCGCAGCAGCCCTAGCTGCTGCTGCTGCCATTCGCTGGCTCAGCTTCGGCCGATCCTGCTGATGGTCACCGCCCACCGAACCAAGCATGGAACCAAAGAGACTCTCGTGCCGCGACATTTGATGGCCGGTCCGGTCCGAACCTGTCCTTCCCAGGCCGTCAGACGAAGCAGAGGCAGACCGGCCAAAGTCAGAGGTTCGGGGAGAGCGTGAACTGGAGCTGGGGTTGCTGAGACTACCCGAGAGAGGATTAGACAGAGAAGCTCCGAGATTGAAGGAACGCATTCCAGCAGCCATGGCCGCCCCGGGCCAGTGGGAGGACGGAGAGGAGCGGCGGTAGGTGGGAGGGAGGGAAACAGACGGGGAGAATGAGGAGGAGGGCGACGCGGATTGCTGCTGGTCACGTGATCTGTTGAAGTGCTGCTGTTGTTGGTGGTGATGGTGGTAGGAGTGGTGGGAGTGATAAAGGAGGGTGGGTGTCGGCAAGCCTAGGAGCTCTAGCTTCATGGTTTCCATGTCTTGGAGGGCTTGTGCTAGCTGCCTGTGGTCAGGGTCGTCACTGCCCTCTGGGAACCTGCAGTGGGAAAGGGAGAAGCGAGCGAGAGGTGGCAAGAGGAAAGGAGTGAGGGGAAGAGAAGAGAACGAGAATGGAAGGGAGGCAAAATGAAGAGAAGACAAGAAAAAGAGAATTGAAAGTGAGATGGCATAGGAACGGGAGGCATGCAGCAATAAGAGAATATTTTATCCCTAAAGAGCAGCTTTTCTGTCAATAATAATAATAATAATAATAAACCAATTCAGCTTCTTCCCTTTGCAAGTGCAAAAGAAAGGGGTGGAGCCAAAAGGCAGGTGGCAGGTAATGGCAAGAATGATCTCACAACCTGAGTTGCAGTGAGACGAGCTACTACGAGAAAATATGAGATGAGATGAGATGAGATTCGAAGAGGGGTGAAGAGAAGGTTCTTACAGGGGCAGAGAGTTGAGATGCTCCCACTCAGCCCGTGCTTTATCTGCCATCGCCACTGCTCGCTTCATCTGAGAGCATTCGGTGGGACAGGGAGGTGGAAGAGGAAGGGGAGAGGATGGGGGGGAGGAAGCCGGGAAGTGATCAGCAGCAAGCGGGGAAGAAAAAAGTGGTAGGTTCACCATGGAATAGAACAGCAAGGCAGAGGGAGCGGGGTATAGGCGGATAAGCTAGATAGGCTAGATAAGCTAGATTAGCTAGATAAGCTAGATAAGCTAGATAAGCTAGATAAGCTAGATAAGCTAGAGAAGCTAGAGAAGCTAGAGAAGCTAGAGAAGCTAGAGAAGCTAGAGAAGCTAGAGAAGCTAGAGAAGCTAGAGAAGCTAGAGAAGCTAGAGAAGCAAGCTAGACAAGCTAGACAAGCTAGACAAGCTAGACAAGCTAGACAAGCTAGACAAGCTAGACAAGCTAGATAAGCTAGATAAGCTAGATAAGCTAGATAAGCTAGATAAGTTAGATAGGCTAGATAAGCTAGAAGATATACACCTACAGTGTGGGTGGAAAAAGGGAAAGATATACAGCAGAGATACTGCACGGAGCAACCTAGAGTGGAAGTGAGAGAGAGAGTGAGGAGGGAAAGAGCGAGGGAGGAAAAGAGTGAAGGGGCGAGATTGTGTGGAGAAACAGCGCCCGTTTTGAGACATTTTCGAGGAGAAAACATCGCACCTGTGATTCTGCTTGTAGGTATTTCTCTTCTGCTCTCATGCGCTCGCCACCAGTCGTTGGCAGCAGCTTTGCACCCCCTTCGTCCTCACTCCTGCCAATGAAAGGAGGAAGTGGGGATGACTTTTGAGGCGTCTCACCCCTCGGCAGGAGCTTTGAGGGAGTGGGTGAAGGGGGGGGGAGCAAAATGAGTGCTGATGGGGTGCGAGGGGAGGTGGTGTCCAGTTCAGACGAACTTGGGATGGGAAGCAGGGAGGAGAGGGAAGAGGTGTGGTGGAATTAGCACGGAGGGAGGTAAGATCGGATGGGAAGGGAACGGAAGGGGGATGGGAGAGCGATAGGACGGAGTAAGAGCTGTGAGAAGGGTTGGGGGGATCGTGAAGAGATGCGCAAGGACGCAAATGGCAGGTGCAAGGGAGTGCAGGAGGATGCAAGGGAGTGCGAGGGAAGGCGAGCATACAGAGGGGGTGCAAGGCAAGGAGGAGTGCACTCACGGGGTTGTGTCAATGGCTGAGAGAGAAGAGGCCGCTGCTTGTAGCGCTGTGAGCGATGCCCTCATGTTGCCCTGATGGTGGGGGGAGGAGGAGGAAGAGGAGGAGGAAGAAGAAGAGGAGGAGGATGAGGAGAGGAGGAGGAGAGGAGGAGTGGATTGGAGAGGAAAACATAATGGATCCGTCAAGTAACGAGAACGGTAAAAGGGATTGGATAACAGGAGAATGGAGCAGAACGGGAACGGGGAGGAGAAAACAGGAAAGGATTGGAGAGGAGAGGAGGTGAAAAAAGAGGAGAGGAGGAGACACACTGACTTACGAAGTGGTCAGATGGAAAGAGCACTTGACATATGGGCATGGCCACCACATGCAAGCATGCCAACCAGCACACAAGCATGCATTCGTGGCAGCCAGCCAGCGCGCATGCTTGGCATGCAATCATGCCAGTGTGGCAGAGGGCAGAGGCAGGAAGTGCAGGCGTGCACGTACCATGCACACGAGTAGATGCGGAGCAGCTATGGTCCTCAGACGTGACGACAGGTCCGCCAGGGATTGCCTGAGGTGGGGCCAGAGGTGGATGAGGGGAAGGACAGGGGGTGGGGGACGGGGAGAGAGGAAGTGGTTGGTGAGGGAACAAGAAGTAAAGACGGAGAGAAGGGGAAGGGGAGAGAGGGAGAGGGGGAGAGAAAGACAGGGATGAAGAGGGGCATAGCAGCAGCAAAGAAGAGAGGCAAGAGTGACAGACAGACCACTAAAGGCGATGCTAAGTGACGTACTTAAAGGTCTGGTCCTTGCTCTCCATGTAGAGAAGCTGCATCTTCCAGGAATCTTCCAGGAAGCCCATCCAGCCGAACAGCGTCTTGGCGTCCTGCTGGTGCTGCTGCTGCATCGTGTTCAGATGCTCCTCCTGGTCATGCGTACGCACACAGACATAGCAAGGCATGGCGTTTGCATTTCCAGTCAACGCGAATTCACCTCACCTCTGCTCCTGCTGCTTCATCGTGTTCAGATGCTCCTCCTGGTGGTGCACATAGGTAGGGCATGGCATAGCATGGCAGACCACCTGAAACCACCTGAACCGACTTGAGCCCATCCGTGCCCACCTGAACACAGTCCGCTCACCTCAGCGTCCAGCGAGCCCAGCAGCCCATGGCTGGCCAAATCGAACTGCTCCTTCTCCTCCTGCACCCACCTGAGCCTACCTGAGCCCACCTGAACCCACCTGAGCCCACCTGAACCCACCTGAGCCCACCTGATCCCACCTGAACTGACCAAAACAAGCCTGAACCCACAAGAGCACAATCACCTGACCCGAGCACGCTCACGCTCACCTCGGCCTCCAGCGAGCCCAGCAGCCCATGGCTGGCCAAGTCAAACTGCTCCTTCTCCTCCTGCATCTGGATGTGCCTCCGCGTCGTTGCTGCTATCGCATCGTCCACCTGCACCAGTGGGAGAGGAGGAGGAGAGTGGGAGGAGGATGACAGCGGGTAAAGGGCGGCGGGGTAGGGGGAGGGGTGGGTGGGCAGGGAGAAAGGGTTTGTAGGAGGATGATTGTCGAGGGGTTCTTGACAACCACACCCGAAGCCGTTTCGTCACTAGAGAGATTCATTTCAGGACGCGCATTCGCAACATGCTCAAGTCTCTACTTTGTGTGTGTTTCCTTTTCTCACCTCCATCGCCCTGCCTCCTCACCTCCATCCATCCATCTCCTTCAAAAGTACAACCCCCCACACACGCACGCACCTCCTTGAGCTGCTCTTCTATCTCTCTCCCTGCACCTCTGGTGCAGCACCTGCAGCTCGCTGTTTCTTGAGGGTTCTCAACACCAAGCAGAGATTAAAAAAAAACAAAACAAAACAAAACAAAACAAAAAACCAGAGAACGCCCAAAAAAACCCCACGCACACACGCACGCACCTCCTTGAGCTGCTCTTCGATCTCCCTGCGCCGCTGGTGCAGCGCCTGCAGCTCGTCTGTGATCCCTTTCTCTACTTCCATCACCTCCTCCTCCTTGCTCGTGCGGTACGTCACTGCCTCCTGCCGCTGCTGCCTGCACGGGGGAGGGGGGGGGAAGGGTGGGGGAGGGAAGGAAGAGTAGGTGTGATTCATCACAGCGAGAGCACAAGGAAAAGCAACAATTTTTAAGGGTTACACACGTGACCAATGTGATTTCTATCCCTTCCTTTCGTGCCTTCTCTATAGGCTACCTTTCGATGGCTTCACCTTTCCTCTAGATTGCCCCGTCTGTTGCTCTCAGATTCAGCTGCTTTCTTTTGAATCCAACTGCCCTCTGTTGCAATCACCTGCCCTCTGTTCCAATCACCTGCCCTCTGTTGCAATCACCTGCCCTATGTTCTAGTCACCTGCCCTCTGTTGCAATCACCTGCCCTCTGTTGCATTCACCTGCCCTCTGTTGCAATCACCTGCCCTCTGTTGCAATCACCTGCACTCTGCGATCTTGGCCTCAAAGTCGTCCATGAAATTAGCCAGCTCGGCTGCTAGCTCCCTCGTGCGCTCCACCTGCCAGGAGGTTGGGATGTGAAGGGGGTTTCAAGGAGACGGGGAGGCGAGGGGAGGGGAATAAAGGATGTTTTAGTCGACTCAAAAACTCCCTCATGCGCTCCACCAGAGAGGCAGTTGGGAGTTGAAGGGGATGGGGAGGGGAGGGGAGGGGAGGGGAGGGGAGGGGAGGGGAGGGGAGGGGAGGGGAGGGGAGGGGAGGGGAGGGGAGGGGAGGGGAGCGGAGCGAAGGGGAGGGGAGGGGAGGGGAGGGGAGGGGAGGGGAGGGGAGGGGAGGGGAGGGGAGGGGAAGGAAAGATGAGGGAGAAGAGATTGTGCTGCGAGTTCTGCCAGCATATGACGACTTGCACGTTTCTTGGCGAGATGTATTGACGCAGAGGTGGGACGAGAGTGAAGGAACAAGACGAGAAGCAAAGGAGGTAAGGAAGGAGGTGACGGAAAGGAGGCGAATGGAAGGAGGAAACGAGAAGGAGGTGATGAGAAGTGCCACAACAAGGTGCAGGAGATTGAGAGAAAACAAGAGCCGGGATGATACACATAACAGGGTGACAGGGCAGGACTTCAGGCAGGCTGCTTGACAGGCAATCAGTCACGAGTCACGAGTCAAGGGCCCAGGAGAGCAGCGCTGCGCACATCCTGGCAACGGAGCATTTTTAGACTCACTCGTATCAGAATATTCCACTCCAAGTCAACTCAGGAATCGTTCCCAGTCGATTCCAACTCCACCCCAGCACTCCAATCCAACCCCAGCCCACCACGCCAGCACCCAGAACCGCTTCCTCCTTTTGAATCAACTCAAAAGCAGACACATTACACCCCAGCACTCCAACCCCAGCCCAGACCTCCACGCCAGCACCCAGAACCGCCCCCTCCCCTGCGGCCCTGCCAGTGTCAGTGTCAGTCCCGCACGCAAGCACGCACGCACGCACCTTCACCATTCGAGCGGCAGCGCTGTCCCCCCGGTGGCGCAGCTGCTCCTTGCGCCGCACCACGGACGCCAGCGCTGCTGCCAGCGAGAACAGCGCCTCTGTCGCCTGCACGTCCTGGGTTTGGTTGGGGGAGAGCGGGGCAAGGAAGAGGGCGCATAAGGGGAGAGAAGGGGGGGGGGGGGGGGGAAGGCCGAGAGGGGATAACGGGGAAGGGTGCGAAATAGGGGGGGTGGGAAACTAAAGAAGGGAGGGGATGAGATGGAGAGCTTTAAGTGACTCCCATGGCTTGGGCCTCAGTGGCTTTGGAGTCGACTCAAAAGCTGACTCCCATGGCTTGGGCCTCAGTGGCTTTGGAGTCGACTCAAAAGTTGACTCCCATGGCTTGGGCCTCAGTGCAAATTGCAGTTGGAGGAGGAGACTTGGGGGGGAGCGCGGGAGGGGGGGATGGCGGTGTGGAAGAGAGAGGGGATGTAGGAAGGAACAGTGCTGACGAACAGGTGGGGGGGGGGGGGGGGGGGGGGGCTGGCCGTTGGTGTGCCATGCTCACTACATGTCAGATCCTAAACACATACCACAGAGTACTTTTGCGGTATCTGCAGACTCTCTCTTGTCCCATCCCCTTGCTCTGACTCCTCCCCTTCCTCTCCATCCCTCCCAGCATCCGCTCCCGTCCCGCCCTTCCCAATCTCCTCCCCCTTCCCGCCACCTCCTTCCGTACTCCCCTCCTCGCCCTCCACCCTTCCTGCGTTCTCTTCCCCTGTCCCTTCCGCTTTCCTAGGCTGAGCAGGCTTGGAACCGAACAGCTCTGAAACGTCAGGGGGAGCAACACCCTCACCCTCACCATCACCATCACCACCACCATCACCACCACCACCACCACCACTACCAGCAGTGGTAGCGGCAGCGGCAGCAGTAGCGGCTGCGGCAGCAGCACCAGCAGAGGGAGCAGTAGCGGCAGAGGCGGCAGCAGCAGGGGAAGGAGGAGGACGGGGAGAGGAGTGGGAGAGCGAGTGTGAGAGCGAGCGGGAGAGGGAGCGAAGCGAAAGAGTCTCCATCTTCTCATCCATGAGCTGCTTTATCCTCTCCTCCTCCGCCTCCAGCCTGCATCACAGCGTCAGGGTGAGCAGAAAGGTCACAAGTAAGGAGAAGGAGGGCGGGGAGAGGAGTGGGAGAGCGAGCGGGGGAGGGAGCGGCGGAGGGAACGAAGCGAAAGAGTCTCCATCTTCTCATCCATGAGCTGCTTTATCCTCTCCTCCTCCGCCTCCAGCCTGTGTTACAGCGTCACAGTGTTACCACGACCGAGGGGACATGAACAGGGGAAGGGGTGGGCGGAAAGGGCAGACGGATGGCAGGCAGGAAAACGGCAGAGGAAGGGTGGATGAAGGGGCAGGCAGATGAAGGGGCAGATGAAGGGGCAGATGAAGGGGCAGATGAAGGGGCAGATGATGGGGCAGATGAAGGGGCAGATGAAGGGGCAGATGAAGGGGCAGATGAAGGGGGGGGAATTAAGAGGCAGAAGACGAGCACAGCACACACTCCTTTCAAGAGTAACCCAATCCCCCATTCCAAACCTGCATGCTCCCCTTCTTGTGGCGCCCACTACCCACAACCCACTATCCACTACCCACTACCCACTTCCCACTACCCACTGCCCACTACCCACTACCCACTGCCCACTGCCCACTGCCCACTACCCACTGCCCACTGCCCACCTCTGCAGCTGTGCGTCGAGCTTCAGCCCTGCCACTGCATCAGACGCCATTCGCAGCAACTCCTTCCGACTCATCTGCAGGCCACACGTGCACACAAGTACACACACAGGGCATGGGGCTTGGGGAATGGACGAAGCAAGGATGACGGAGGGAGGAGAGTGGGGGAGCGCGGCAGATCGTTGAGTGTAGTGTAAGGGCTGTCAAAAGCAATGTAAGGGCCGTCAAGAGCTAGCAGGGAGCTAGAAGAGAAGTGACTGACCTTGACCTCGGAGTAGGAGGAGAAGGAGTTGGAGAGCTGTGTGATGGCATTGAGGAGCGATGAGTGCAGCTGATGGTCGCCTGATAGACACAGACTGGCGCACACGGCATGGTCAGCGCAGGTAGGGTGGGGCATGGAGGTTGGGGGATGGAGGGTCGGCAGGCAGGGTGGGCCATGTGGGATGGGAGAGGGAGGACATGCGAGGGTGGAAGAGGGGGTGGAGGGGGTGGGGTGGAAGGGGAAGGGGGAAGAAGTGGATGGAGGATAAGGGAGAGGAGGGGGTAGAAGCTACGTTAGAAACGGGATGGGGAAGTAAGAAGAGCAGAAGGGAGACGAAATCCCCAAAAGCATGAGAACATGATGGGTTGGATGGGAGGCTGCAAGCTGCACGTGATGACTGTGCGAGTGTGAGTGTGTGTGCGTGAGCCCGCTCTCCTCACACTCGTGGTGGCAGCAGCGACACTCTCTTCCAGCCCAGTCCCCAATCTCTCTCACTCTCGCTCTCTCTCAACCTCTCTCACTCTCTATCCGCCCACTTGCCCGCGTGCTCACTCACTCGAACATGTCTGCCAGCATCTGCTCCTCCTGGGGGGATGGTGGCTCCATTATCTGCACAAGGGGTGCACGTGCACGCACGGACAAGGACATGGGAGAAAAATCAGAGAGTCCGGTACCATCATATCATGGTACCATCATATCATGGTACCGTCAATACATAGAGATCATATCATGTGGATCACCATGGGCCTGGCTATATCCCTCCCTCCCTCCAACCATTTACCCATCTTTCCATCCAGCCGGCATCCATTGATTAAACCCTTTCTAACTTACCTTAAGGCGCCCACGAATCTTTGGCTCGATCATTAACTCACTCGCCCTGACTTGATCGCAGCAGCACCCTCACTCACTCACAGCAACCCCCCCGAACTCACTCACGCAGCAGCAGCGCCGTGACTCACAAAGGAGACGACGATGTTCTCAAGGGCTTTGCTGCACAGGAAGACATCCCTGAAGGTGAGCGGCACGCCGGGATTGGCCGCATCGTGGAATAACACCTGATGCACGCCACACGGGTACAGTTGAGAGAGAGAGGGAGGGTGTGGTGTGGCATGGGGGGGAGGGGAGAGGAGTAGGGTGACCTTTTAGTTTGACTTGAAGATCACTCCGGGATTGGCCTCATCATGGAACAGAACTTGACGCACGGGCGCTGGTGAGAGAGGGAGAGAGGGTGTGTGTGTGTGGCGCAGGGAGAAGGAGGGGAGAGAGCCATGGACGATGAGGGAAGGAGGGAGGGGAAAGGTGCGGGGAGGCAGGGAGTGGGGAGAGGGATTTCGGAAGGGGGTGTGGGGTTATGTGGGGGCAGGGAGGGGGAGAGGAGACGAGGGGGGTAAGCGGAGGGAATAGGAGGTATGCGAAGGTTGATAGGAGGAAAGGTAAGAATTGGGGGAGAGGGAAGGGGAGACACTGGCGACTGATGCTCGAGCACGCAGTGAAAAGGAGTATGTGTGCGTAGGGAGGGGAGGAGAGGGGGAAGAGGGGGTGGGTGGGATGGGTGCATGTGTGTAGGGGGGGAGTGTATGTGTGTGTGGGTTGGGGCAGGAGGGGAGGGGGGCAGGGTGCATGAGTATGCATGCATGGCTAGAACGGATTGGTTGGTTGGGACAATGGGGTGGCATGGATGGATGGATGAGTAGCACGCACGCATGCAGGCAAGCGCTCCTGAGCACCCCATCGCACTCCCATCCCACCCCACCCCATCCCACTCCCACCGCACCCCACCCCAATCCATCTCTCTCATCTCACCGATCCAACACTGGGAGCGTCTTCCGCTGCTCTTGCCCTCGGACTAGCCGCACCAGGCCCACTGTTGAAACTCCCCACCTGCACCCGCGGACTCGGCAACCTCCGCGCGCCTGTCCCCCCCACCTCTTTCCCCCCTCCTCCTCCCGCGCCGGTATCCCCTCCCGTGCCTCCCCCAATCCCTCCGCCTTCCCCTTCCCCTAACGTTGCCTCTGGGGGCGCGTCCACCCCGGGAATGTGCGCGGGAACGTCTTCCCCCTGCGCGCCCTCCCCCTGTGCGCCGTCCGCCTGCGCGCCCTGCGCCAACTCCTCCGCGTAGGCCATCCCGTCCGCGTGATCGTTGTCGGAGAGCTCTTTGAGCGCAGCCAGCCAGCGCGCAAGCGCGTCCCGCCGTTCGCGCCCGCGCGCGAGGAGGGAGACCTCGTCCAATCGGCGCACGGCGTGGCGGAAGTTGTTGAGATTGCGCCCCGGCTGGGGGAAGGGATGGCGGGGAAACGGAGGGGAGGGTGGAGGTGAGAGGGGGGAAGGGGGGAGACGACAGGATAATGGTTGTCAACTGAAGGACGAGAGAGGACCGAAGAGCGGATCAGATGGTTGAGAGACGGAGTAGCGGGACGAAGTAGGGAGGTGCTAGTTAGCACGGAGAGGACCAGCGTGCGCCTTGGGGAGACGGTCTTTATGAGCTGTACGGCTTGAGTTACCAATGGCTGGGATTGAACGAGTTCATACGAATAAAATGATATTATATGTGAACTGACATCGACACTTGCGGGCACGAAGGAGGGACGGCCAACGACATTGCACGGATAAACATTGCACGGCATTGCGCTGCGCCGTACAGCAAAGGGTCGCCGTACGGAGTACCGAAGCGTATAATAACGAGGACGTCTCACCACAGCGCGTTCCAGGACCATCTTCGCTCCGCCGGCAACTGCATCTCCCGCGCGCTGCACCACGTGTCCCGCATACGCCTTTACGCGATCGAAATTCGGCGCAACCGATCTTCCGCCAGCCCCCGCCGCCTCCGCCGCCCGATTAAGGGCGGAGCGGAACCACGACATGCCGCCTGGTCTTCGCACGCGGCACGAGGCACTGAGGATCTAAGCGAGAGAGTAGGAATGCGTCCCCGCGCCCGCTAGAGAAAAAAATATATTTCTCAGAATGGCGCGATGCGCAATAAACGAAGTTAGTTCATGTGGATGAACGTTGTGATGGGGCTGTGGACGCTCAGTCTTAGACCGCACAGTTCCCTAAGGTGAAATAGGCAAGTGCAGTATTTTAGGGTGGGATTTTTGTCCGATATGTAATGCAGTTCCAGGATGCCCAACACAGTGCCATGAAGTGAAGGCCTTCGGTATAGTACGTTTGAGAAAGTTTGAGATGTATATCCACCATGGATCCAGGGAGGGACTGGTGTTTGGTTGAATCGACTTGCTTTCAATCAGCAGCAACCAAGCAAAGTGACGAACAGTTATGAGTGATGCTTCGAGTTGAGCTGTACAGAGCAGTACACCTTTCCCGCGAATCAGAACCAATCCGCGAGTCCCACCTGCTGCCACTCTTCGCAATCCCCCGCTCCCAAGATTCATGTTACTGGTATTACACTTCAGGTGTTACAGCCAACATCTGTGCAATAAACATCACCCTACATTCCCTCCACAGCTAGTTTGTGCTCAACCTTGCAGATAGTTCCCACCTTCCTAGTTGGGCTAGCTCTCCTGTCAAGCGACCCTAGCCTCAATACCCACACTTCCCTAGAATCCTGGGCGCTACTATTTCTCCGCTGTTGTCCGAACAGGCTTTCTGATCGGAGATTATAAAAGCCTTTGATCCTCTGTGATCCACACTTCCTTTACGAAGAGCGCATCCATGCCAGGAACTTCAGCAGCCATCGGATCTTCTGGACCAGCCAAGCAGGTGCGGCCTACAGTACTGGATCAAAACTATAGTCATTGAATGATGCGTCGTAATCTTGTTTCGTCATTATTCCAGTTTTGGTAGTTGCGGTACGTATAGTCTGGATCCTTTCCGATCTTGCCTTGACAAGGATAGGAGGCCTTTGGCTGTAGGCACCTGACCTTGTCGAAAACCCTAAACTCATCGCAAATATGTCCTTGTCTCTTTTTGTCAACCTCGGCGTTAAAGTTTAAGATGCTGTATGAAGCTGTCCGAACTATTATGTTCGCATGCCATGAACTATTATGTTCCCTTCACATGCCAGTGTTTCTCTTGACGCTTCGATCTCTGAATCCAAATCTTCACCTAATCTATCCTTCGGATGTCTTCCCCCTCCCTTGCCCGTTACAACTCCCTTCCTCCCGCTCCTCTGGCTCATCGGACACAGGAGCACTGGCTAACGGCGAGGCTGAAGCGTGCGGCCTCAGGGGGTAGCTTGGTGGGTCGGAAGCTACTATGGAGCACGGGAAAGGCGGCGTGGATTGCGGGGACGACGTTTTTAATCCTATGCGTGCCGCTTATAATAGAGATGGACCGCGAGCAGCAGCTGATGGATTTAGAAGGTCAACAGGGGCTTCTTGGCGCGCCTCCTGTTGGCGCGCTTGCTCCTCCAGCTGCAGCAGCTAAATAAAGCTGCGGCTGGGGTTAGATAAGAGACTTGAGAAGCAGGATTAGGTCAAATATCCTAGAGATTCTGGGTTTTGGCTCTAGAATGAGCCTAGAACCTAGATTACTGTAGATGATTCTTCCATTGAAACGCTCTGCTACCAGTTGATGGACTGCAAAACTGTTTCTGCTCTGAACTTAGAGCCCCATGTGTAGGCGGCTTTTGAAAGTTCTGAGTGGTCTAACGAGTTTTATACAATGGCCATCTACAGGGGGGTAGGGTAGTCCCTCGTGAGCCAAAAACGGGACGGCCTGTGGTATTGATGAAGGTATTCATCGAAGTCGCATCCCTTGATGGGTGTAGCATCTGCCTTAGCTGCATGATCTTCTAGTGGGGACAATGCCCTGAAGATCACCCATTCCCACAAACATGTCTTTGTTACCCCCATCCCATGTTGTTCTAGGCCTTGTGGAAGTAGGAAGATCCATCCTTCAACAGGAAAGAGTGTAATTGGTCATTCAGATTCCAGTAAGATACTTGTTGGCAGCGTGGGAAGTCTACAATAATCGTATTAATCCGAACGCTTTCACTCAACTAAGTCAATATTGCTAAGTAAATGGGGAAGGGGAGCCGTGTAATTGCGAGTGCCCTAGTATGTGTCCATGGGGCTCCATGCGTCCCTATAGTACCGCTGCCCCATAAACAAGTAGATCCTGCCATGACATACTGGTCTCCTAATCAGAAAGCGGCGACAGCGCGCACAACTACAGGAGCGTAATGGCCTAAGCACGAGGGGGTGAAAAGCATGGCTACAGAAGTAGCGCCAGCAGCATGGCACCCCCGATTGTTGTAATCCATTGGACGCTGGCGGTGAATCCTGCACATCGGACGAAGGGAGACGAAAACACACAACTTGCGATATGAGATGGTGCGACAAGAGATGTCGAAATACGAGTTGACCGGTCGAGCGAGCGCATATCAGTGAGTATGGGAGCATATTACGCTCCTGTAGTTCCGTGACGCAACTAAAGAGACGGGTAGACCAAGTGCTTTGCAGTCGATGAAAGAAGGGCCTGTCTGATTGGTTTACAAATCTGGGGCCAAAGTTTTGTCCAATCGAGACTCGCCAAGTACCCACTTTCGCCCAAGAGTTTTGCAGGTGCACGGCCAACCCGTACATGAGACCCTTGCTTAACGAGCATATGAGCGAGTAAGGGAGAGGAAGAGGTGGAAGACGAGAAAGCGGGAGAGAAAGTGCGTGCAGACGGAAAGGGGGGAAAGAGTGAGTGGTAGAGGGGAAGTGAGGGAATGACTCACTCGTTGACGGCTTCATCGGGGGACCGCCAGGGTAAGAAGGCGGAGGAGGGGGCGGAGAAGTAAGCAGCGGAGCCTCGACGGTCACGGGCACGGTAGTGATGGGAGGAGGCGGCGGGGGAGACGACGGCGGAGCGGCCACACCGCCGCTAAGAATACGTCGCCCTTCCTGGTCGGCGTCGCTCTTAATGTCAGCGAGCAAGCTCTCCGCTGTTGGCGGAATGAGCAGCCCCTTGATCGAGTGCACCACTGCGCCCTCTTCAAGCGTGATCGCGTTGTACTGCTTCACCGGGTTATTCGCCGCGTAAAACGCGAGCGCGTCCATACGCAGCTCCACGGGAGAGCCCTCCATGGATGTGTGCTTGCCGTCCCACTGAAACGCCGAAATGTGCTCTGAGACGATGTGGAACATCAGCACCTGCCGGAGCAGGGCTTTATTCCGCGGGGCTTTCAGAAAAGCGAACATCGCGGGGGAGATCTGATACATGAGAGCCTCGTTCGTCGGGACGAAGAGGGTCATGTCACCCGTCTTTAATTTGTCGTGGATCGTGGGGAGTAAATCAGCGGATTCGAGGAGCTTGACGAATCCCGAGAAGCCGGCGGAATTGAGCTGCTCTGCGACGGGGCCTGGGGACGTTGTAGACGGATTCCCTGCAATTGCTGTCGCAACGAGCGCTGCGGCTGTGAGGAGGTAGAATAGATGACACCGCCGTATCGTGGCCATGGCGGTTGACGGGAGTGGAAACGTTGCTGCTAGAATGATATGTCTACTAATGGTTAATACTAGCTTGAAAAGGAACAAGTTTCAAAGTATCAGATCGGCTGTTAGAAATGAGTTTTCTTTGTGGGAGTCGAGAAGCAGAGCGAGCGACATAGACAACAGAGGGAATTTCGAGGTGATCTGTTCGTGTAAAGCCCTCCCCAGTATTGTTGTCCGTCCTGCCTACTTGACTACGATCCCCTGTCCGTTGGCGCCACGACCATAAATTGCACTAACATTTCGCGCTTCGAAAACAAAGCAACCCAGCTTTTCCGTCGATTTCGCAGTGACACATACATCACTCCCAGCCTTGTCCCGAACCTGGCTCGTGACTGGCAACAAGGCACAAGGCTGCCTTGACAGAACAGCGGCGCCACACTGGAGCGAAATGCGACCCGACGACTGAAATTGGTACCCGTGCGACAATTTCGTCCGACAAGGGACCCTTGAAGTGGTGACAGCCCCCAAGACATTTTGCCTAATCTGCGACAGCGGGAAACGTCACCTTACTGCGCTGCGAAAAGCGCACCAGGAACGCATGGACGTGATGTGATGTTGGTGGATGGTCCCAGAGCACACCAGCCAACAACGCCCCAACCACGACGCAAAAATTGGGAAGCCTGGAAACAAAAGCCTTTCACTGGTCTGGAACCGACACGGACAATGATGGGTTGCATGTCATGTCTCCCAGACCAAGACTCCGAACCAGGGATAGCTCCTTGTGCGACACGACTGTGGAGCTCAGACCTACAAGCAACGTTGCCGCGTGTCGCAGCAAGGAGTGAATTGGTCCGTTGTGTCGCAGCAAATCAAAGAACTTGCTGATGAATTAATTCACTTTACAGACAGCAAATCATAGAACTTACAACCAATATCACTATATAAAGCAGGGTGCGACTATGTTTGTTATGGGTTGTAATACGAGTGCATTGAAGGTCTCACACCCTAGGCAAGATATGGCTAACAAAATAAATCTTGCAAACCCCATTCCAACTGCAATAATCTCACACTTCTGTGCAAGACACGAGTCACCCTTGCCTGATGAGACACTTGTGATTGCAGTCACAATCAGAGCGTGTTCCTACGGCCTCATATCAGGAAACCTCGTATCAAGAATGCTGTTTTTGCCTGGTAAAACTAGCGAGAGGTTTGGGGTTTAGGGGAATTTTCAGTGTGAGTGTAAGGAAAATTCCTTTTCCTTACTTCGCATCCCTGAACAACGCGTACATCACTGTAGCACCACAGTCAGCACCGTTACCTCTCGCAATCCTCGCATC